TTATACCTACTACTCATCCCTAAGATACAAGTTTGGCTGTGGACTGCGGTTGACCCATCAAACTTCTATCTTATGAACCAAAGGTTTCTCCCACAGTTTTTAACACCCCCCACCTCCCTCCCTCTCCCTCTCCCCCTTTTTTTTTGAATTAAGTACATAATTCCATTTTCAGCAGAATTAGTTGACCAAGAGACTTTCAAAGTTTCCGAAGGGGAAATTGAGCCCCATGTGCTTGTAATCCATGACTGAAAGAGAGTGGCCCATAGTTTTGGCTATGAGGCCCATTCCCTGATCACTTGGGTTTATATGGCTGTTTCAGGTTGGTTCACATCACACAGTAACTTTTTTTTTTTTTTTGATATATGTCATCACCCACTAACTTAACATTAAACATGGATTGATTTTTCCTATTCATATCTGTAATTTTCAATTAATTTGATGACTTATAATTTAGGGGTTTTTTTTTTCTTAACACGTGAAAGTTTAGAGTGAAAGGAGATTACTGTAGTCTAAGATCAAAGCATACTATTAACTCTAATGAGGATTTATAGTGGACTTGCATAGAACTTGAAATTTAATATTTATATAAGGGTTTATTTAATCTTATATACAAGTTAAAAGTGTAACAAATTTTTTTTCGTAATTAATTCATATTAAAAATTAACATATATTTTAATATCACTACACATGGATGATTTTAATTAGTTAATTAATTAAATAAAAATCAACATATATACTTTTAATAAAAATTAATTATGAAAATATATATTTATTATACCTCATTTTTTATCCTTAGATCACAAAATAAAAAAATTCTTTTATATAATTATTTGACTCACAATCCTATATAACTTACTGATAAAACTTGTGGCCCAAACCAATTCAACCTATGATACCTATCAGAGCGTTTTCCACCTCTATTAAAGAAGAAAATAAAAGAAAAACAATGAGAATTTGAATCGAATCCAGCCGTGCATCTCATTCTCCTCCACCAGTTGCGTCTTGAATGCAATCTCCTCAAAAAAATAAAATCCTACAAAGGACCCTCGAAGAAATGCAATATAATACACGGGCCACTCAATGACAATACACTGATGTGTGGGAGAAGCACTTAAATAAGGCAAACCCCACTTGATTTTAACTACCTATGAAGCATATTTAATGCCCAGACCAGAGCAGTATGGGGTTAGGCAGAGAGTTAGGTCTGCTTGCTCCAGAAACAAAACTTGAACAGCTTCATTACTCGGCTGGGGACACCCTTCACATGCAGGAGACATCATGTTTGATTTTGGCCCTCCTCTGATTTTGATTTTTGACCAGGTGCAGGTTTTTCTTCCATGTCTGCTACAGTGCTACGGATGTCAAGCGAAAGATGGACCCCTGTATCACATGGCTAGTTATTTTCCTTCTTTTTTTCTCTGAAAATAAACTTTTCGTAATAGGTAAATAATTAGTACCATATTTAGCATGATTTTGGGTTTTAATTTTAAAAAATTTTGTAGGTGCTTAAAACCAAAATTAAAAATAAAAAAGCTAACACTTGATCAATTATAATAAGTTTTAACACTAATAACTAAAATTATAAACTTGTTTTAGTTTTAAAACTATTTTTGTTTTTATTTTTCTTTAATAACCATAATATAATCATAATAATGTGTTAAATTACACTTGCAAATAGAGGATATTTTTATTTAAAGCTATAAAATTTATAAAAATTAAAATTAAAAATTAAAAACTACAACTATAATAAAAGAAGCCTAAGTGTACATTAAAAACCTGCTTTCTCAATGAATATATAATAAGGCACCCAGTTTTGGGTACTAAATCCACATCTGTGCGCTTTAAAACCACATATTGAATTTTAAAAGAGGATGTTCGGTAAAACTTAAAAATATTTATTTTAAAAAGTAAATTTTTCTCTCCCAAATTTATAAATCTTATTAGAAAAATTTAAAAATTGACTAGATGTATAACTTTCTCAAAACTTGCTTAAAAGTCACTTCAAAATCAATTTTGATTTCTCTCTAACAAAATTTTAAATTTGTAAAAGATGAATTTATCTTTTAAGTATGTACTTTCTAAGTTTTATCAAATACTCTTAAATTCAATAGATGCAAAAATAATAATATAACTACAATAAATGTCACATGATATTTTAAATTTACAAATATAACGAGTCATTATATGATTGATTTATTTTATTTAGACTCATAATGTTACATATATTTATTTATTTAATGACATATCATAATTATAAAGTTTAATTTTACGTGAAATTTTAATTATTTTATTATTATTCTTTAAAAAAAACTACTCTATATGCCAGTATCCTTTTTGTATATATATATATATATATATATATATATACATATAAACTTTATATTAAAACATAAACTCATAGTTAAGAGTATAGGTAATTCCACCATCAAATTATATAAATTTTATGATGGTACGGCTCTATATATCATATTATCTCTAAACCATCATTATCTATTATTAAATAAACTTTTTATAAAAATAAAAATTATCACTAAAATATCAAGGCTATCATAATAATCATGTACTGAATCTTAATCCAATTATTTAATTAAAAAAATGGTCTATCTAAATAAAAGCCCTGGACGCAATGCGGATATAACTACTAATTTATATTAATTGAAACGAAAGATCTATTGAGATTGTGTATACACCATTCGTAACAATATCTCCAATGAGATAATTTATAACCCACTCACATTGATAATTAGGATTCACACACACACACACACTTTAGTAATATTTTAGAATTTATCTTTGGAAGGGTAACTAGGGTTCTGTGTGAATGTGGGAAGTTGCAGGGAATATGACAAGGGGTCGAACATGGGTAACATGGGTACGTGGGCTATGGGGATCTTGCTGGGACCAACTGTAAGATTAGGCAATGGTATTTTGATTTTGAAAGGACTGGTACCCAGGACCCAACTTGGGTCATGTTGTGCCAAACATGTGCAATTGTCCTCGCTGATGCCAACATCGCACATGAATGAAAAGAGATTAAAGAATCAAGCAAAACACACATGGTCCCCTTAGCAAGTTAAAATTCTCCATTAAGCTGGATGAAATTTGAGCGGCTAGGAGAATTGCATATGAGTTTGATAGGGCGAACAAGTTGGCTTAAAAGCTATTAAATTTGAACGGCTGGGTTATCCATCTTCCTTAATGCAAACCCCAGTTTAAAACAAAGAGATTGATTTAATTAAATAAGAAGAGAGTGGTAGGATCCTCCATTAAAAAGTGGAGTTTGAATCCGAGTTTGGTTGCATTGCACTAATGGAATTGAGAAGGTAGCGAGCGTTAAGAGGTAAAGGAAACCTTTCCTCAAATCCTTTAACCCAACCTCCGCTACATTAAAAGGAGATACTTTCGTAACCCCCTTTCTAAATATTACCCTTGTGGGCATAATTTCTTTCCCTTTGTCGAAACATAAACCACATGAAAATCTGGGCCATAAATGTGGGCCAAAAGATTAAAGACTGAAACAGAATCTGTTCTTATTGAAATTTGAGATGAAAGGGTTCCCATGCTGGGTTTGATCAATTTTGGAGTAGAATGGACTCGAAAGCATTACAACACGTCATATCGCACTTGTGTGATAATTTTAAATTTTAAAATTTAAAATGTAATTTAACTTCTACCACCAAACAACAATTACATAAGTGTTTTATGTCTCGACTCAAACATAGGAAGTGTCTAGAAAAGAGAGTTTTTAGTGAAGCACGCCTCATATGTTCATGAAAGGCGGTCTCTGGTCAAAAAGGAAATTTTAGACTACCGTAAGATACTGTAATGGTGAGTATATTATAATTGTAATTAAAAATTATTTAGTATTTAAATATTTATTTTTTAAAAATATTATATATAAAATATGATAAAATTTATTAATTATTAATTAAAATTTCAAAAAAATTATAAAATATATAATTATTAAAATAAATAATATTTATTATTTATAATAATTTAAAATTTTTAAATTTATTATCATTATTAAAATATTATAAATTATTATATAATTAAATTATAAAAAATTAAGTTTTAATAAATAATTTTATAATTATATTAAATATTAAGTATTTTTTTTGTAAAACTCATAGTTAAAAAACTTCAAAATGAAACTTCTAATTTTATATATAAAATTAATGTAAATCTATTGTGACTTTTTACAAATAAAAAAAAAATCTAAAAAAAAAATTACCAAACGCATAAATATCTAAAAACACTATATGACTATACGAAAAAACTTTCAACCACTATACCAAATGCACCCATAATCTACAATAGCTAAGCTGCTAACCTGTGTTTAAGGAAAACACAAATAAACAAACTTGGTAAAATGACTGAAAAAAGCCGCTTTTTGGATTTCACCCAGTCTAGGAGAATAATATCTATACATCATCTTAATTTCCAATGCCCATCTACTTGAAATCAGCTTAACATACTTGCATCAACCGTGACTTCACTGGAAGTAAAAGTGACATTACAGAAAATTCGCACATACCATATCATTACAGAATTTGCAGCATTACCTGTTCATACTTGGACCAGCTATTGTCTTGGAGCATCCAACTGCACCCTGATCAACTGACTTACCACTCAAAAACTGCAAAGAATATGAAGAACTCTTCCTTAACTTACCTGGAAATTCTTTGCTTGAATTACCTTTCATAGAGAGGTTCTTCTTGATGCGATTTCGGTTGAACAATAACATAGCATTGCCTGGGGAAGCATGCAAAGCCCCTTCAAGACAGTCTCCCACTTGGGTACAGCTCCATGGTCTTGATGGGCCATCCTCAGAAAATGGTCTAAGCCTTGGAAAACCATTCCTAAGCTTGGAAAAGACTCGCTGCTCTGGGGAACTTTCCCCTTCTAATCTGACACATATAGGACATGGAGGGTCATTCTTACGAGTCTTTGGTGTTGTCTGTTCCAAACACTCTGCATGAAAAACATGACGACATGAAAGAACCCCAGCAACTGGCATATCACCACTTCTTACAATACGACGAGAACTCCAAGGTGATCTTTGTGAGAGAAACCTCTCACATAGTCCACATCTAAAACCATCTGATAGAATACAAGATTGACCAACATTCTCAAAATCAAAGGGCTCAGAGACATCTACATAATCAGTGCTGCTGCTTGCACTGCTCCATCGGTGGGCCTCTCTCTGTGGTGTGGCAACATCAACATCTGAAGGCCTAGCAACCGTGAGGTCATAAGCTTCTCCACCATGAACTTCAGTGGGAAAGGACAACGGATGAATGGGCTTGGGCAAAAAGTAACGGCGACTTGAGTAGTTGTGATGAGAGGACATGCGTGACTTGACTGTGGTCTCAGATTCACTACTGTCTGAATGAGATGAAGTAGAGACCTCAGCAATATCTGCATTTCCCAAGGTTCCCTGCTGAAAATTCATTAAATGAAGGTAAATTCTAAGGAGATGCCTATCAACCTAATGCCTGATAAAAAGATATTAGAATTGGTACCTCAATGGTAGATGTAAGGCGTAACTGCTCAAAACCTTGATCTAAAAACCAAAAGAGGGAATAATTTAGTTCAGTAAATTCAATGGGAAACACGTAAAAAGCAGCAAAGAAGGATATTTACAACTACAAGTCAAACAAAGAAGAATGAAGTCCAACAACTAACGATGCAAAACATAAGAATAACTGCAATGCAATTGAACTGTACATTTAGATTCCACTCTGAACAAAATCCTAGGACAGTAAATGATCCTACTGATCCAGCTAGTCCTCTAAGGGCAGAAGGGGTTAACCACCTTGATATCTTACCACATAGGACATTACAAAACAAAACCACTATCTCTTCACTATAGAGATTCTTTTTCACAATCACAACAATTCCAACACCAACAAAAAGGGAAAAACAATAACATCTTTTAATGTAAAGTAAAATTTTTTATCTCCAAGGTCTCCCTCAATAGTCTACTGATATTTATAGAGGTCAGCTATCATATTGAGAATAACTCAAATATATTTATTATTGCTAATGAAAGTAATCTTGTCATATAACTGTGCATTACAGTAACTGGTATTGGTTAATTCCTGAAAATGATTGGATGACATGCAGAGAAAACAGAGCCATAACATGCATAGAAGCCGTGAAGCAGAAATATTGGTATGGAATGATGGTACGAAATCAGATGAAGTCAGTGACAACAATTCTTGGCAAGTAGAAACCCTATGATCAACAGAGTAATCATGGAAAACTTTCATTAAATTTTCAAAAAGACTAGTTTTTCTTGTAATTGAACTCATAAGCTTTCACATGCTTTGTGCTTAATTGATGCAATTAAATACTTGGAAATATAGACAAAGTAATGATGGAAACTTTTCGCTAAGATTCCAAAATAATTTTTAGTTAACTTTTCTTGCACTTGGTATCATAAATGTCACCCTTAAAGCCAGTAAACTCCTATCCTTCTTCTTAAAATTGATGCTAATAAATATATGGTGAGGTTGCACCATAACATGCACGTGTTTGATATATTTGCAAACAAGTATATCAAAACCTGCAAAACTGAAGTTTTATTTTAAATTTGAATACAGAAATTACCAAGCACTTTAATTGCCAATCATTGCATCTGTCTAGATACATGCCTTATTTGATCTATGCTGAACATCCTAAGATGTTTAATGAGGAGCAGTTATCCAACCACAGGACACAATGATCTCAGTTATAGAAAAATGCCAAGTAGGTCAATGGAACCTGGCTGGGTTGCCTACCATCAGCCTTAGAGAGTCTAGTTCCCAAATTCTAACAAAAATCTAAACTTGAGACATCTACAAGCGTTACTCCCATTCCCATTCTACTCATACATAAGCCTTAACTGATCATTTTCAACTAAATTAGGGAATGAGTTTGGAATAGGTATTACCAAAATACCACTTCTCCCTAAAGAAAAGATGATCTTTGCTTCTTCCCTAATCTAAAAGAAAATGATCAATTTAAGGCTTATCCATTCCTAACTTGGCAAGTTTGTTAATTTTGCCTTGTTTTTATGATTTAACCATGGAATGGTCATTCATCCAATCAAATAAACCCATAAAGTACAGGTGAAAGAAGGATGAAAGAGTATGTTGGCAGGCAATGGAATAGCTAGATTAAAATCTTGACAACTAGCAACTCTAATTTCCATTGACATTGTTGATGGCTACCTTAATGATGTGGTTAGAGGTAAGCTAAAATGAGATACAAAGAAAATGAAGGATTTTCTTCTATAACAAATTGTTGCTAGAACCAAATCAAATATCTAACAATAAAAGGCCAAGGTTAACTTTAAAAGATAAAATTCTAAAATCCTAATTCTTGGTTAAATATTTAAACGTAGGAAAAAGAAATCAATTCAATCTTCTCATTCCTCCCCTTTTCCCATTCTAATTTTCATTCAACAGGAATAAATAAATGCATGAACATCATATGCAAAAAATGTTAACAAGAGCACAGGGTTAACTTCAACCCCTCCAACCTTATCAACATAAGATGTAAAAATAAATGCATCAATGTGTCTTAAAGCTAACAGGCTAACACTCCACAAAAAACAATTGAAACATATACAAAATTTGGATGCAGAAGTGGTATACCAAATTATTTCCTTCACATCCTAGATAATTTAAAAAGACACACATGCTCTAGACATTTCACTTCATGATTACAAATATAATAAAATGACAAAAATCAGACATGGCAATGGGAAGAAAGGTCAAAGGTAACGAGATGCTGAAGGAAAACAAACCATCAAGAGCAATGATAAAAAAGCCAATGCAATAAAACCAATTCTACACCCTTGTGTTTGGTTTAATTAAAATGGCTTCATTTCAATTCTATGATTTCAATTACATCCTCGTGTTTAGTTTGATTAAAATTGTGTGAATTCATTAGTAAATCCATATTTTGTGTGTTTGGTTGGATTGAAAGGTGTAGAATTCAATTATAAACCTTTAAGTCATGGAATTAGTTAAGCTAATCTAATTTCTATCAATTTTGATGAGATTTGGAAATGAACTCCACACTTTTAAATGAAGCAAATATAAAATTACTAAAATATCCATCAAAGTAAAACTCACTTACTTTCCCAC